CGTTCGTGATGGCCTAATTGCTACCACTTGGGACTAAGTAAGATGCTTTTTTTTATACCTGCACGTCAGTTTTAGTGCCTGTTTATGTTCCTACGTTCGGGTGACTTGAGCCTAATGGTACCCTTCTTCTACGTGACGGAATGAACGCATACTTTACAGATCGAACAAGGGCGAATTATCATACCGTTGAAAATAAACCTTAATAGGATTTATTAAGAACACCGTTCTTATTACTTAGAGTAGTCGGTGATATGTTAGGCCTGTGGACCGCAAATAGCCCGTGGTATGCATTAGCAAAATGCTCAGTGCAATGACGACTATGCTGAAGTTGTTGAAACACGGTACGTATTTATAATGTCATTTGGGGTTTTCTTCTATAGTGTCGTTCCAAATGCATAAGTGGGAGAGTCTTCACTCGAAAACCTGCGTGCCATTGTACGGTAAAAGCGAGGACCTCTTCGTTGTAGTTGATTTACTATCAATCAGCTTTGTACTAAACTCTCTAGATTTCGGTCACTATGACTGGAGAATGCACGGAAGACGCCAGGTGATTATCAAAATGCACCAACTCCTTCCGTAAACTTAATCTGGAGTTTTCACACATCTTATAGCCTGCTTTGCTTTTTCACTCTCCTAGTAAGTAATGATTAGGCTATCTGAAATCTATCAAATTCCGTTGGCGCATACAGTTTGTACGGTGTTTCAATAATCAATAGGTTTTACACTACGGACCATCTAAAAGGGTAACACACGTTACAAACGCGTGATTAGAAATGGTAGATAGACACGACTCATTTGTCTCCTCTTGCCTTGAGGCTCTCTTGAGCCCCGCCAGCAGCCGCACAGCGGTAAATAATATAGCCAGAGTAACCAAAAAACACTTGTCCAGGCGGGCAGATCCTTGATCTTCGTAACATTAAGCATAGCATGTGTGTGTGCTAAAAATGACCTGACAACGTCTCTGTTTAAAATAATGTTCTCCTACGAAATTTCTTCGACTTCTGATTCAATTTTTAAGGTCAGTGGTTTGTCTTTCCAAGTGTACTGTCTTGTATCAGATTGCATGGATTCGTCGTTTTCAGTAGCATGTATTGATGTTTGCTTTTTTTCGCTTGCCTGTTTCAGCTGGTCCCTCGCCACTCAACAGAACTCTTCTTATCTGATTCTCTGAAGAATTCTTCAGTGCAGCTTATAGACGTCGTACTACGAGTATACTGCAAACTCTGCGCGTCACCCTACTGCAACCTCGCGCACCTTCTGGCAGCCACAAAGTCCTACGTAGACCTTGTGATTCCACAGCCTTCTCCCCGCGATGACCACCCCAAACCTCAGCAGTCCTGCCCTACAGCAACCAACGCATCACTTGCCAGTAATTTCTCCGACCCGGGTCCAAACCCTCCCCTGCATCACCTTCCTAGGGTGGATCTTCTGCGACTGGTGCAGTTTGGTGAAGTGAACGGCCTCATTCGCCGTCTACGTTGCTACCCCATCAGTGACATACCTCTGGACACACCCACCACCCCAGACTATCCCTCACCCACCGAACTGGTAGCAGACTCCACTCCAAAAAACCGGCCGGACAGGCGCAAAACCACCAGTGTAGTGCAGTGTAACGCGCTTTTGCCTCCACAACCGCCACCGCAGGCACCCCCACCCTCGCTCTCACGTCAGACATCCGTGAATTTAGACCCGGTACTCTCGT